AGTCGTATTTGTCCACGTCGATGCCTTCAGCTTCCATAGCCTCTCGCAACCGGGATAACAATTCCACTTTTCTTCCGGAGGTGGCCAAATTACGCTTTTCCAACTCCTGTTTCAGCTCCTCAATTTTTAAGTCCTGAATTTCGCCATTTTTAGTAGTTTCTCCTTCGGGATTTATTTAACAATCCCACTTCTGACACCAATTGTTACGATTATCTTTGAAACCTTGAGGGATTTCCCAAATCTCTCGGCTCGTATCGCTGGATTGTTAAATAAATGCTAACGATGACCAAATTGTAGTACAATTAACTTTATTGTACAACAAACAATTTACAATACTTGCTAATACAGTAAAAACACTTTACAATACTTGTTAAAGCAATAACAACGCTTTACTACTTGTTAACACAATTAAACTTATAGCTTGCTTATTCGCAACTCAATTCTCCGCTCACTTTACTTGTAGCTTGCTGACTTGTAACTCGTAACTAACTCAACTCCGCTGTGGCGGCGCCCTTATATACCTGCGCTGACACTTATGGTAACTCTAGAACATTCTGAAGTTTATCGCTCATTCTCTTTCTCTCGCTGTTCGCAGTGTTCATCCAACTTGACGTTTCTCTTTGTGGAACATTCTACGTCATTCCTCGAACATTCTGCCTTTTTCTGGTTGTTCGCTTTGTGTTGCCGCAGTATTCGCCACATTATTTTGGCGACGACCGGGCTACGCGACGGCTGTGGTTGTGGCCAGATTAGATCTATTTCTATTTTTCTGGCGACAGAAAGGTTCTTCCTCTTCTTTTATGTCAAACTCATACAAATTCATGATGTCGCTGCCGCGTTCAAAGAAATCATGTCGCTCATGTATGTATGTAGCTCGTCGTTTTCAATGTGTTCAGAACTTTAGTTGCAATTAGGTGACGAATTTTGTATGGATAAATTGTAACTTTGTTTCTTAACAGATAATTATCACTAATTTCTGCTAAAAGCGTTTCTTAACCCAAAAAACTAGCAGAAACTAGCAGCTCTCTCGTTCTTACGCTCTTCTGTTTTTGGCTCTCCTGCTAATTTCTGCTAGTAAAATTTTTACTAGCAGAAACTAGCAGCTGTCAAAATGGATAACCAAAAATTCGCGCCAAATATTTTCAATAGTCAAATACACCGATCAGCTGATTACTTGCTAGTTTCTGTTAGTTTTGCGTTTCTTTACTTTTTCGTTATTTCGCTTTCTGTGAGAAATAAATAAAAAATTTTCTCATTCTTCTTCTTCCTGATAACTATCTGCTAGAAAAGAAAAGAAACAAAGCCTGTACATTTAGAGTAGCATTAACTTGCCGTCTCCACAGGATAAAGTTTATTTCTGCCCAGCTGTAATTTTGGTCGCTAGATATACAGTATCGGTCATATCTATAGCACGCCATTTCAAAGTGATATTGTGTGCCACTTATGTTTATTTATTTATTTTTAAGAATTTTCAATTAAAATACAGTTCTTTCTCTAACAAACCCCATATAAACCCAAGTTTAACAATTGGTAGAAAACTTCAAAAAAGTGCAACAAATTTTCACCTAAGTTTCAAACTTTTTTCTCGGAAGTGTTAGAATTTTTTCGTGTACACAGTTTTTTAGCCACTGCAATTTTAGTCTGATAATGTGAAAATTTCAAGTGGCTACGAATTACCGTTAATTTTTTAGAATTTTGTTTGTCGCATTGGCTTCCATATAATGAATAAACTCAATTTATTTGTATATGGATTAAAACCGCAACACCTTTGGAGAAAAAAATTCTAAAAAATCAACGGTAACTTTCAGTCACTTGAAACTTGCACATTATCGGACTAAAATTGATTGGGCTATAAAACTGTGTATTCAGAAAAATTCAAACACTTCTGAGAAAAAAGTTTGAAATTTAGGTGAAAATTTGTTGCACTTTTTGGAAGTTTTGTACAAATTGTTAAACTTGGGTTTATATGGGGTTTGTTAGAAAAAGAACTGTATTTTAATTGAAAATTCTCAAAAATAAATAAATAAACATAATTTGCACACAATATCAGTTTGAAATGGCGTGCTATAGATATGACCGATAATGTAAGTTATATCAGTGGCAATATTTGTGCGGGCTTTTTATATCTTGATATAAGCATTTGTAAGATAGCTTCGAAAATGAATTTTTACCGGATTTAATCGCTTAAAAAATTTAGAAGAGGCTATTTTACATCCAAGTACATAAATACAAATATTTTAACAGGAAATAAGCTCAATTTTTGCTTTTATATTAAAATAAAATGATGTTGCAGCCACAAAGTTTTCGTGCAAATGAAAATGTAGCTGTCAAACTACCAAATTGCCGACAATAGATGGCAAGATATAAGCTCTGATATATATTGCTCTTAAAGAGCAATGAGCGGTCTCCATTGGCTATTTATATTCTAACATATGTATCAAGATATAAACTTTATCTTGTGGAGACGGGCAGTTAGAGCTAAATGTGCTTTAAGCCCTGTCTCCACAGGAAAACACTGATGTCGTGATAACCATGTAAAAAAATATATTTCCAATGGAGACCGCCTATTTCTCATGGGCTCCAATCATGGTGTAATGAACTGAAGGTGGCGCATTCCCGAAACCGCTACTTTGGTTTTTCCGACTTTGACGTTTATGGCAATACGTAAACAAACTTTTTGTTTAGAAACAATTGCAAAGTATTGCAAACGTATTGTGTACTTTCAATTGAAAATCGAAGTAATTCGTGCGTTCTAAAGTAAAAAACGTTTTACGTCGTGTGTTGAATTGCAGCAGCCGTAGGGGTAAAGCCCCCTAATGCAGTTTTTTCACTTTTTTATTATCACTTTTTCGGCACCTGCAATACAAACACAAAAATTCTAAATAGTTAATTAATAAGACCTATTCTTTTGAACACCTTTCAAGAGCTGTTGTATATTTTTTGTTAACGTTGTGCTTAATTTGCTATATTCAAAGATGGCTTGGGAAATTGGTGAATCGTTAAGAAAACACATTTTCTAACTGCAAATTCACAACTGTCAACTCATTGTTCTTCGCCATATTCTTTGTTTACCCATTGCCACAAATGTCATTCTGCGGGAATGCGTAATCTTGTATTCTATCGTTCTTGGGCTCCAATATATGTCAGCGCTTATTGGTTGACATCTATTGCAGGCAATTCGATAGTTTGACAGCCATATTTTCATTTGAAAGAAAGGGTGCTGGTGGTAACATCGATGAAATTTTGATATTAAACCAAAATAAAAATCTGTTCCCTATTGGATTATTTATGATTACGTTTTAGGATATTATTCAGCAAGTTTTTTAAAGATTTAAATGTTTTTAAACACTGAAATTGAGGGAATGTTGTCTGGTGGCGTCATGCGACAATTGCTATTTCAAGACATCAAAAGTGCCCACACACAAAAACTTGCAATCATATTGCTCGTCAAACTGACAGTTGGTAGGCCATCGGTGTTTGCCTGTGGAGCTCTGCGGTTAACAAGTACCCTACAAGAAATCTTACTGGCAAATCAGTCAAATGACGGTCAATGCTGATACAATAATGCTGCATTTTCCTCATCAGAAGTTCGGTGGTAATATGAAAAACCTGACCAGTTCTTTTGTGTACATGTGACTATGCGTCCCTTTCTCACATGGGTAGTTTACCAGCAGTGCTAAAAGGTCTCTTTTCTACTTATTGTATTTCCTATGGATATTTTTACAAATACTTTTCTGTGTACTGGTGTATATTTTATAGCGTTTTCTTTTCTGGAAAAAAGGCTGCACTTATTCTGCCTTGTGTTACGCTGTCACATTTTCATGTTCTTTTCTCAGCCCTTTCACAAGGCGTCGTGTTCTTTTCTCAGCAGGTTGCGCTCTGATCCGGCGAAAGTGCTGCCTTTTCTGCCCTCAAATGAACGTGAGGGTGAGAGTTGCATGGTTGATTTTTAAATTAATCTTGTAAAAATGCAATTATTTTCCCTATCAGAAATAAGTGTTTTGCTTTAAAATTGTTAAAGACTTACAGGCCAAGTGAATAATTCAGCTTTATTAAGTTCTATAAATAAATTGTGGTGGAGTAGTATATTTTCTGTTTCATTCTCATAAAAAGAACGCAACATTTTCTCAGGTTTCAGGGCAACGCAAAGCAAGAGTTCCGATATAAAAGGGCAGAACTTTTTTTGAGAAAAGAAAACGCTATAAGTGTGTTAGTGAAGAGGTCAGAAAAAAGTCATTTTCTTGTAGGGTAACCAAAACCAGCCCATTAATATCCCTACAAGAAAAGGACTTTTTTCTGACCTCTTCACTAACACACTAAAATATACACCAATACACAGAAAAACACTTGTAAAAATAACCTTACCCTACAAGAAAAGGACATTTTAGACTGATCGATTCTCAATACATTCATACAAAAACCAATACACATAAAAACGCTGTAAAAATTTCCCCACAATTTTAAGGCAGTAAAACAGAGACCTTAAGTTGACATCAATCGAGGCCATATGATGACATGTACACAAAAGAACTGGTCAGATTTTTCAGAAATCCCTGCAATTCTGACGTAAAATATGACCCCAAAAGGCTTCAGATCTCCCAGTCAGATGACCAGCCATATGACCGGACATCTGTGTAGGGTAGGAAATATAATAAGTAGAAAAGAGACATTTTAGCACTGCTGGTGAAACCGCCATGTGAGAAAGGGACGCATGGTCACATGTACACAAAAGAACCGGTTAGGATTTTCATATTACCCTCGAATTTCTGATGAGGAAATTGCAGCATTATTGCATCAGCACTGACCGTCAGGTGACTGATTTGCCAGTAAGATTTCTTGTAGGGTACTTGTTAACCGCAGAACTCCACAGGCAAACACCGATGGCCTACCATTTGCCAGTAAGATTTCTTGTAGGGATGCTTTTACGCGTAAACAAAAAGAGCTAATTAAAACTTTCCGAAAAAGGGATAAACTGGCAACACTGCACACCAGTCCAATGGGACATTCAAATTTTGACAGCTTTCTATTGGCGAGCAAGTGGAAAAGTGCTTAATTGTTTACTCTGTTTTGAGTTGATACAATTTGGATAAAATTTGTATAATTTGGCGATAAATGCGGTCAATAGCGGTGAATCTTGCATCCTAGTTTCCTAAAGGTGAGTGCATAAAGTGCGCTGGAAGTTTACTTAAAGGTTTTGACTCAAAGCAAAGGTATAAAGCAAAAGCTTCCAACATTGATTTTTCGCCTTTTAAGTTTTTGTCGTTGTCCTTTACTTGGCCAAAAGCAAGAGAAGTGGGCCCAAAGACCAATGATGGGCAGGGGTCAAATAGTACGATTTTTTGTAAGTGACAAAACGTGATTCGTCACATACAATTTGTAATCTAACGCACTGATAAGAAAGCAACAGTGCAGCGCGGGAAGGTGCATTTTTTAATTACTAATGGAAACTGACGAAGCGGAAAATCATCCAGTTGTGACGAGTAAAGATCCAACAAACTTTCCCATAAAAATGAGAATAAAATAATTAAACTTATAATACATACATTTATTTTCAACAAATTTAGTTTTGTTTTTTACGACATACAAAAGTGATTTAAAAATTACCTATAATACCGCTAAACGTTTGCCGTTACTCTAATTTTTCATCATTTATTTAAAAAAGTATTACATCTTTCGTGATAAAGGCACTCCATAAATACTGTTTTTGGTGATGATGCTATTAACATTAGACAATATACGACTTCCTGGCACTATATTGGACGGCTCGTCGCGTGAATGATTGGACTTCTTTTTTGTTAGTTTTGTCTTTACTTTGCGTACAAACGTGTTGGAACTCAATGTGGACTTAATTGATAGGTTGGTCTTATTGAGCTTTGAAGCTCCACCTGTGTTACTGTTTTGTTCCTTTTTGCATGCACCACCTCCTACTGCGCCACTAAGTGAAAGTTGTGATTTGTTATTTCGATGCCCCTTTTTAATCTTTTTTGATGAGGATTGCTGCACTGCCGTGACTACTATGCCTCCTGTTTTGAAACGATTGACCCCCGGCACACGGGCTTTGGATGTATTTGACGAAATTCCAGTATGCTGCTGTAGGCTGACGCTGCAAGTGCGCGTTGCAGTTGATTGACCGTGATCACCTCGCGTTCTCGACCTGCCCTTGGTTAAGCGGGAAATAAGCTGTGATGTATCGGCGATTTTTATAAGTCCATTGCTAAAAATGAAAAAATATATATGTGAATATGCATGTATTTAGCAGCAGGCGAGTTGGATATAAAAATAATTCTAAATAAGAGTTTAATATTCCAAAACTACATATACATATGTAGTTATTTTTAAAAATTACCTTCTCCGTTTAATCTTATGCTCGCCGACTGCTGCCTCCTCTTTTGTGGGGGCTTTTAGGTCCTTTTTCACTTGCGAAACTTTTCTAAATATACGCATGGTCCGTTCATCATCAATAATTTCTGGCATACCCAGCGTCAAAGCGCCCATTTGAATATCAATTTTTCGTGTTAGTATTGGCGAAGCACTAAGGTCTCTGGTCACAAACGTTTTTCCCACATTATTTAGTTCCTGCTGCCAGTGTAGCAGCTTTTGTGAACAAGCACTGTAAGTCAATATTTCCTTATTCTCAATACTATGTAGAGTTACATGTATTCCGCGTGTAAACTTACTTAAGAAAAGCTTCATTGTCTGCTTTTCGGTAGATAGAATCGTCTAATTTTTCTCGTGAGGGTTTTTTCATGCGTTCATACGCCGCATGTCTTGATTGTTGCCCAGCTTGGTGCTGACGCCGCACTATTTGTTGATTCCATGAAAGTGGTCGTGGATGCTCTAGAGTTTCTCTGCTCTTGTCAGACTTTACACCAGCCCAATACCTTTTCTTCAGCGATAATTTCAAATCTAGTTCTTCTATTTTACTTTCGTTGGGACTATAAGAGCTCGACAATCTAAAATCAAAAGATAAATACTTATTTATCAAGAAATCCGTTCGGACAGCTCGATCTAAACGTAGCCTAATACCCATACATTTACATATATCAAGGAGTACGTACTCAATTGGTCAAACAACCAATAACTTAAAATATGACACAGTACTACGTTACACGTTGGTGCATTCGCTTATTAAGCAAATTATGATTAGTAAGTGCCAGCATATTTTAATCCCAGATTCCAGATTCCAGTCACTACTAAATATTCTTGTTATTATAATATAAAACCATTCATGCAAAATTACAAGCTTGCGGAATTTTACATACATAGATGTACATACATATACATGCAAGTTAAAGTAATGTTTTTTCTTCCATTGGAGAGTCTTGAAAGCCCTTTCCCATAATCACTAATCCACTCACTTTTGTCGGGCCATACACACCGGTCTAGACGCATTATTGTTGAGATTATGCCATGAATTAGTGCGTCTAGCCGGCTTAAAAGTCACCGGAAATTCAAGAGTACCGAGCGCATCTGGTACCGTATGGGAGGTCGCCATATTTGGCCTTATAGTGATTTTCGTACCCTTTGATGGCGATGTAATAATCAATTCAGGTGGCATTTTAGCTCTACCTCGTCCCGTTGCATTATCGCCAATTTCCTCAATATAGCGGCGTTGCAGTTCACTTTGTAAAAGACGACGTGCACGTGCGCGTGGTACAGTGCAATATTGTGGCACACAATCGTCTTCATCAGGTGCGTTTGGCTCCTCGTCGGTGGAGAATATCAAATCGGCACTAGGGTCAGTCGTGGGAAGATCCAGTGCTATTCGAGTTTCGCTGCGTTTGCGATGACTATGTGAGCGACGGACGCGTAACTTACGATGCTGAATGGAAGACAGAGGAAAACAAAGAAGAGACAAAATAAATAAATTAAATTAATGATGTGGTGGGTTCAGATTATATAAAAGTTAAATAGCGAACACTTTTCTTCTTGTTTTGTGCTGTATGCCATTTTGACCTAGTTCAATAACAATTGAACAGTGTTACAGTTGTGAAAAGAGTGACAAAAAAAAAAAATTTACTCCTTCGAGCCGGATTTGAACCAGCGACCTATGGATAGCTACGGTTCGGCTCAAAATTCTTCTACAGTCCACCGCTCTACCAACTGAGCTATCGAAGGTGTTGACCGTTCGGTGTCAAATATAACATATCAAATTAGGGGGCTTAATTTTGGCAAAGAGGCTACATACTTAAATTAGTTGTAGGAATGAATGCGCAAATGCTATTAAAAAGTTCTTTCTAGCAATAGCTTTACTGGACGATCTTACATTGGTAGTTCCTTCTTATTTTCGGCAGAAATTAGCAGATGATGAATAGAACGGGCAGAAAGAATGCAGGGAAATAACCCAAAGTAAGTTTATACACATGTATGTATGTATGTAGTAGAAACCCTGCAGGAAACGGGGCTAGTTTATAGCTAACTTTTAACTACCCAGCAGTTAACTAGTCATATTTTATTATAGTAGGGGAAGTTGAGAGAGCGAAAAATGACAGCTGAAGTTGCAAGTTTTTACTGGATTTTACTGGATAAATTTTTACTTGTAAGAATTTGCCAGTACGAAAAACTGCTGATCGCATGTTGCTGGATGAAATTTAAACTAATAAGGAAACTGTTTGTGGCTTTTTATTGTGGAAATTCACAAAATAAACATATTTAAATATAAAATATATTGTTTTATTAGGAATATGCTGCGAATAAACAACTAATTAATCAGCTGTTCATGAAACTTGCAAATTATTACTGGAAAAGCGTTCACGTACTTTTTTGTAAATTTTTTCTATGAGAGCGAATTCTTAGAAATTGGGTTCCTGGAGAGTTGCTGGCAAGTTACTGGATAATTTGTAAAAAAACACAACTTATAAAAAGTGAGAGCTGGTTTAGTCTGCATTAGATGGCAACTTTCTTGTACTACTTTTGGCATTGAAATATCAATAAAAAAGATTATTTAAACCTTTTAAATTTTTACTTATTTGCTTTATTTAACACGTACATATTTGTTATTTGTTTACATTGGTCCCTGAATTGAATTCCAACATCAAAATGATAACATACAATTTCAATCTTTATTTTATATATCCTGAATTCGAGAAAGCATCTGCTAATTGCAGAAAAAGATGTATTCAAGTAATTTTTGTTCGAGGATATTTAAACACGCACTCACGACTTTACAACTCACTTAAAAAAGTTTTATCATAGGAGCTAACTATAGGTCTGATATTTTATATTAATTGATAGTTTTTTCTGTAGGGAAACATCAGCAACTACGTTTGTAGCATTTATGTACATTAGACTGCATCACCAAAACAATTTGCGGTTTTCCGCCGGGACAAAATTTATTATATTTTGAGACTTTCACCAAAATATTTCGGAAAAATATTCAGATTTACTTGAGCTGGACCGATTGGAAAATACCTCTAAAAATGGAGTTCTTTATGAATAAAAATAGTTTATTAAAGGCTGTTTTGGAAAAATCCCCTCAGATGACAAAACAGTTAAAGCTTTAAAAATCTACATAAAAATATTCAAAAATTTTTTCAACGGAATCATAATAATGAGATTTTTGATGCTGTTTTTCACCCTTTTTCAAAGAAAAACTTGAATAACTGGGAAAAAACTATACCGATATAGACTTGCAAAGTATCAGTGGAAAGGTATTTTCTCACCCTTTTTATTTCTTTGCAAAAAACTCCTTCACGTTCCAATTGTTTCTTTATCAAATACCAACACATCTTAATTCAACATGGAATGAAGATCGTTTGTCTTACCTTTCTCTTTCATGCTTTGAATGAGCTTATTTTAGAAGAAATAAAACGGGTGAGAAAATTCCATTCCAAAGATACCTTATAAATCTGAATCGGCTGAAGGTTAGGCTGAGTTATTTAAGTTTTTTTAAACCAGCCTTTGAAAAAATTATTGTGATTCCGTTGAAAATTTTTATATCCGAGCGCACTTGTGCACAAGGGTATTATAACTTTGTTCACATAACGGTTGTTTGTAACAGCCAAAACGAATGGAGATAGATATGGACAAATGTATACATTAATGATCAGAATGAAAAGAAAAGTCGATTAAGCCATGTCTGTCTGTCCGTCCCTCCGTCCGTCTGTCCGTGTACACGATAACTCGAGCAAAAATTGAGATATCTCAACGAAATTTGGTATGTCTGTTGCCCTTTTGGTAATGAAAATGGGCGAAATCGGACTGTAACCACGCCCACTTCCCATACAACGGTATTTTCGAAAAATGCAAAAACTGTGATATTTCAGATATGCAAATTGTTGAAAATTAGTATGTGGAGTAGAATTGTGGTAAAAAATATTGTTATGAAATTCTTGGAAAATGGGCGTGACCCCACCCACTTATGATGAAACTCGGGTCTACGTAACCGGAACGACCCCGATTTATATCTGGCCAACGACTGTCACTCCAGCTACACTCCCCAAAAACTCTTTGGGGAATTTGTATGCTGTTACAACAACAACAACATAGGACAATAAAATCCGAAGTAGACAAAAACAAAAATAATCCACATAGCTGCAACCTTTGTTAAACAAAATATTGTTCATTATCCTCACTAACCCATGGAAGCAAAAAATAACATGATTTTATACTGAGTTGCAAATTGCTGAGATTAAATGAAGTACACCCCGGGCAGAAAAATCTGTAAATATAATGGCCCGTGGTTATAGTCAAAATAAAGTCGACTCTTTTCAACCGACTTCCAAAAAAGGAGGAGGCTATCAGTTCGTCGGAATATATTTTTTTTTTTTATGTATGTTACCGCATAACTTTGCACCACTTCAACCGATTTCAATAATTCTTTTTGCAACGGAAAGGTAGTGTCTCAGAGGTGGTCCCATACTAATTTGGTTTAGATCATTGGATCATGAAATATATAGATATATATATATTTTTTTAAGTCGGTTTTTTTTTGCTAAAAATTACTTGTTTGACATATAATAATGATTTGCGCTTACACATACTTTAGTGTTTGGCCGATTTGTGGCGTGCGCCTTGATGTTGTCCTACAAAGCGAAGAAACCTACCATTGCCTGCTAAGGGCAACCGCTATTAGAAAAAAATCATGCCGATGCCGATTCCTTAAAAAAACTACCTGAATATAAATTCATTCAAGAACAAATGTTTTTGATAAACTTTGATAAGAACAAAAGAAAAACACAAACAAATGAAATTACAAAACAAACAAGTAATTTTTAGCAATAAAAAACCGACTTCAACTCCCATATAAAAAAAATATATATATATATCGGATCTCAACCAGATTAGTATGGGACCACCTCTGAGACACTACCTTTCGGATGCAAAAAGAGTTATCGAAATCGGTTGACGTGGTCCAAAGTTATGCGGTAACATACATACATAAAAAAAAAAAAAAAAATATATTCCGACGACCTCCTCCTTTTTTGGAAGTCGGTTAATAATCATTCAAGAATCTATTCACTTATTTATGTAAATATGTATTAAAAGTAGCCTATTATGCATAGTATCATTGCAATACTTTGTTCCAAGTAGTTCATTCGAAATCACATTTCTTAGTTGTACTCATAGTAGTAAAACTTCTGCTGCCTATAGAGGTGTTGTATTGAATACAATTTGTTAATAAACAGTAACCGTAGATTTTTAATGATAGAAATGAAATTCGCTTATTTGTACGGAACAGTTCGAGTCTAACACAAATCTTAGTTTGTTATGTTAAATTTTAGAGAATTTAAATGATAATTATAAAAATACCTTTGTTAGCACTAACATCTATGTTAACTAAAACAACAAAAGTTTTAACAATACATTTATTTCAAAAAATTTTAATGAATTATGTATAATGAAATTGTCTTTACGGGACTCTTACGAATTTATATTTTGTGAAATTCAATTACTTCGGGTATAGGCTTTGTTGATGTCCGGAGATGAAAATGATTCATAACACTTAATTAGTTTTTGTTGTTGTTTTAAAAAATATACGTATGAATGTATATGATTAAATAAAATCAAGTGAAACATCGATTTATGTGCGAGTTTACCTAAATTTTAGTACCTAAATTGAAGTTCCACTGAAAATTCCCCAATACTGCTTCAATTAAAGTAAACAGCAAATCAAAATAAATAAATTGTGCGAGTTCATCTGACGTTGCCTAAATTGTTCGTTCTTAAATTTGAACTCAATTCCTGATGATAAAATCATGTAATATGATATTGTGGTAGCTTTTGGATTATTATTGGGGTATTTCGGGTATTATTATATATTGCAATTTTACAGCAAAAACTTTACCGTTCAATTAAATAGATTTGGCAGTTCAATTTTAGGTTGAAAAGTATGCTTGCAGAAAACCTACATAATTTCTGCCTATTCAATGTTTTACCGACATTTTTCTCTGATTTATGATTTTTCTTTGTTTAGATAGAAATTGGAATATTCGAGTATCAGGGCATGGATCACGTAACTTTGAAACGATTGTCGTTCAAACCATACTGACAAAACGATGTCGTCAAAACACTGATTCATGTATTTGTGTTGCTGTTACGTGTTACTGTTACTATTGAGTGGACGATATCGCACAAACGATCGAACAATTTTTGGTTTTCATGAAACAAGACAATCTCAGCACGATATTGTCGAAACGATTGTCGTCATGCGTGATTAATGCCCAGGATAATCCGCATATTAAAAAATTCCAGATAGAACTCCCTGTCCTACTGGGTATGCACTGAATACGTACGTGTATGTACCCAGCCAGCAAAGAAACGTCCGTTTTGCCTACTGCGTTTTTCGTAAATTTTTCCTATCCGGACAAATACGGACACCGT